GCAGTTTCATTTTTCAAATATCGTGAGAAATGGATTATTCTGAATAAGCATCAAATCCACAGATGTGGATTTCCACTTATCCAAGTAAACCCTCTATTCCACCACAGAATAACATATATTGCTAGCATCCAACTGAACTGAAGGCAAAGGAGTAATGCCTCCCTCCAAGGTTTTTTATCCTTTGGGACTTCATTAATACTTGTGGAGTGACATTTGAAATCTGTGAGTCATTCAGAATGCTATGGTGCTTGGTGTTTGTTAATATAGGAATTACAATGTAGCAATAGGAGAAAGTGTAGTAATTATATTTCTTGGAGTACCTTATTAATTTCACTTGGTGTCTTCTAACTAATTAATTCAAGGTTACTGCCAGCAAAACAGTAGGTTTCCAAGAAGAATTAGCAAATTTCATACACAGGGATAGTGAACAATGAACGCTTTCCAAACTTATTTGAAATTTTGCCAAAGGCTTAAACATAATTTAATCATTTATTTTGCCATCTTAGATTTTTTTTCATCCAGAGGTTGGAAGCTTGTAATGAAAAATAAATAAACAGCATAACATCTGTTAAAAATAAATTCTCCTGTATTTCCCCCATAACTGTTCATGTTCAGATTGATGAAAAGCAATTTGCTTTAGAAATCCTTTTCTTTCAAAGGAGAACATTTCAGAGAAATTCTCATGGGTGGAATATAGCTTTCTTGTACAGTGAATGTACTTTTTTAATTGTACAGTCATCTTTTCAATCATCATCAGCACCTCTGGCTTCCTACTCCTAAAGAAATATAATGAAGAAACTTATTCCACTGAGTTTTTTCAGGAGCACTACTAGTATCATTAATGGGAGACCTGTCCTTGAGAAAATGCTGCATTAGATCTCCTTCATCTGGAATTGAAAGAACCTGCAAACACCCTTTCAGAGTAACAGATTTAATTAAACACATAATAGTAGTTGTTAATTGAGAAGTACTACTATCAGACTTATTTTGTCTTCCTAGACTAACATGGTTTGCCTATTCCAATGTCCTTTATCTGGGGGGATTCAAAAAAATTCTAGTTATGGGCAGAAAAATTCAGTGGGCAATGTTGAAAGGCCCCTTATATTTAATGATTTAATGTAGACAGAACAGCCCAAAAGCATTCATTAAGAATAATATATTCAATCTTGTCCCTTTGTTTTTTGAAAGTATGTAAGAGGTACTATGCAGGTTTCAGAAATACCGAAGCTGCACAGGGCAGCTTAGGCTGGAGGAATACACAGATAAATTATGTGGGCTGGGAAGGGTGCTTTGGTTCTTTCTTTCCTATTCTTCCCTTCTTTCACTTCCTTCTGTCCTTCCCTTCCCTTCCTTCTTTCCCACTCCCTTTCTTTCCCTTCCCTTTCGAGAAGGACAGTAAGAGACTGCAGTTGGTCGGGAAGGAAGCAGGGATTGCAAGAGTGGCTAGGAAACTGTTTTGGAATATTGAAAATGAAAATCACATGACTGCAGCAACAGCTTGGCACAACTAAAGCAGCAACAGCCTGGCAGCTCTGAAAAAACCACAACTTCTCAACATTCATTGCCTGAATTTTGAATGCATTATGTAAATTAGCTTATTTGAGGTACCTTGGTTCAAAAGTTGTTACACTATGATGCACAGTTCACCCAGTTAAGGATTATTATAGAATCGAGAATTTTAGTAATATATAGATTTTGTATTTTTTCTGCCTGAGAATAAAGTAAATATTTGTGCAACTTCACACCAATTCACAATGGACTCCATCAGTGTGAATAAAATGGGATCTGGATGTCACAAAGCAACATCTTTGGGCTGAAATAGAATTTATCATTAAAGCCAGTTTAGTGTGGTGTTTAAAGGCATCAGGATATAAAACAATCTGTTTACAGTGAAGTCTAGTTTTGCCTTGGGTGTAAAGAAGCTGTATGACCTTAGGCCAGTCATTCTTTTTCAGTCCACCAGGACAGCAGCAGGCTATTTCCTAAAATCTTGCCAGGGAAATCTGGCAGTCTGTAGGAATCAAAACTAATTTGAAGTTGCATAAATATTCACACACTACAATATCAACATTACATTTTGAACATGCATGTACATCAACTGTTCTCAGAACAAAATTTCCAGTGCTGAACTTGATCTAACTGGAATGTAAGTCATTCAGGAAAAAAGTGGAAAAGTATCTGTAATTTCAGTGTGCTACTCTACCAGCAATCCATTTAAAAATGCAAACTAGATGTAATCAAAGTTTCTAAAGCCCCATGTGGTTACATTCTCAATAACCTAGAAATGACAGATTAGCAATAAAGGATGCTATTTAATAGATACAAACATAAATCCTTGTAGTACCAACACAAATATGGGAATGACTTGCAGTAATAACATGTTCTATGCAGAAAGTACTGCAGCTATGTATTTTCCCATGTTCATTTCTTAAAAATAATAATAATTTTCTGTTTCTAGTCTTCAACTGTGTCAATATTCCGCAGGGAAGTAGCACAATAAAAATGCTACATGGCTAGTATCCCGGCTTCTGAAAATTCTGCTAGTCACTAGGACTTTATTGTTTCTATGTATCATATACATATTTTTGAATTTCTCAGAGACATTGAAATTGTGTTTCAGTGTTTTCTGTCCTTTCAAAGAATATTGTATTATATTTGAACAATACATTTGCCACAAATTTAATTCAACATGGAAACTATCTGGGACTCTCATTCTAGCCATTGGGTTTCACTTTACTTATCCTAATGTTTTAACATTTAAGTTGTGCATGATTTATTAAACAAGAGTAGGATTTGTATTGATTAGGTACGACTGTAATTTTTCATTTTCATTTTATATTACACTGATTATTGTCAATGATAATGTGTACACTAACTCAATTTAATAGATCAGTAATTCTAAAATGATTTAAGATATTTAAATATGTAGAACTCAAATATTATTCTGAGAATATATTCTTAATTTAATAATAACTTGTACATCTTATATCTATTTACTTTGTGCTTATATTCTTTTTTCTCTTGTAACTTCTTTTTAGAATCTGCTTCTTCTGAATTAGCTTAACATGTTCAATATTTATTTTAAAAATTATGTCATACACAAATCTTTTTTAAAAATATAACTGGCAGATATGACAGGTCATCTGATAGTTTCATATTTGTCATAATACAAGAACCCATCTGTTCAAATGAGCTGAAAATTATGAAGACCAATTAAGATAATTCTATGATTCAAACTCTCCATGAGACAAATCCTGGGAAGCATAGAAACATACACATATTGTTCATATATTGACTTTTTCCAAAATGCTCTTTGTGATGCAAATTGCATAAGTAAGTGCAGGGATGTCATAAAATCAAGATGATGACCATGACAGTGAGATTAAAATTCTGGCTATTTTTATAGTGTTGCACATGTGATGTACATAAAAATTAGGTGGAGCTTCAATCACAGTTTTGGTCACCTTCTTTCATCCATAAACAATAGATATCCCAGTAACTGGTTCTAGAGAGTAGTCCTACCCTATTCAATCTATTCCCAGTTGCAGCCTAGCTGGTTTCTCTAAATCAGCCTGGTACTATCAGGTTGAAATATATGAAGCAATTGGATTTAGATGTAGCCAATTAGTTTATACAAATTTGTTCTGATTAACAAATGCGAAAGAAAAATCTATATGGTTGGAAAAGAGATATAAATTAGTCTGACTAATGATAAACATTACTTGCTATTCTGGTTTACAAAGAGTAGACTGTAAAGCATATCTCCATCTTTCAATTACCAAGGAGTAGCTCATGAGTTCTACAAGCCTTGGAAGTACATGAATTTCCAGAACTTGCTAAACTATAGTTTCCAGCATTCCTCAGCATGGGCCATACTAGTTAGGATTTGTGGTCCACCAACATTAGGAGGACATGGGTTCCCTATTTTTTTTTATAACAGTGGTTTATTACTGCTTGACATAAGTTGAATTTTAAAATCGAGATTTAGTTCAAGATGATGCTGTTATTTTTTCTCTTTGTTAGGATTATTGAGAGTAGGCTGGGGTGATGGAACTGAAGGAAATCATCACATCATCTCCCTGCCTACATAGTTTCATATTTTGAAGTTGTTTGAGTGACATTGCCTGAAACTTTTATAGGAGTTACCAAGCATTATGGGGTAATATAAGAGCTAGCCCTGAGGTGCTCAAAATATTACTGTATCTAACACATTTCATCCTATTGCTAGAAAAATATAATAGAGTGTAGCTGATTCCTAAAATCCATGGCTTATATAGATGGACTCTAACTTACTGTTAAAAACTAGTTACAATGTTCCTTGAGCCTTTCAGAGAAATCCTTAAGACTCTCAGGGCACAGAGTACAGCTTAACTGGAAGAAAAGCAAAAGCCAATTATTTGAATAAATCTCTTCACTTCCCAAAATCTATTTTTTAATCTTTTCTGGCTAGTGGGTTTTATTGGAATTGTAGACCCCTTAGCTATGAAGTTAATCTCCTTCCTACTCTTGAGTGGACTATTTTCAAACAATAAGTTGGTTTTTAGGTTACAAGTGTTCATTACACTTTAAAAGCGATACTTTGTACTGTGATTCTTCCATGACAATATACGAACTGGTACATTTTACCCTGTTATATATTGTAGGGGTCCTTATATAAAATCCATGAGGTTGTCAGTACAAGTCCCTTCAGTGCTAATAATTGCATTATGCCTTTCAGCAGGATATGAAAAAGTTTAGATTAACATTACTTTGAATTAATGTTTTATGGAGCTGAAAGAATAGCAAAATAAAAGCATATGAGCACAAAACACAGACAAGAGGGAATTATAAAGAATAATCTGAAGTAATTTTTTTAAAAAATCAATAACTTACTTAAGCAGCAATTGAATTACCAATCAAACACAAGCAAAATGATAGTTTGTTTATTCTGATAAATAAACTGCTGAACAAGTTCTATTTTTGAAATTAGTTACAGCAGCAGTCATGTTGATATTACTTACATCACTTTCATGGCCTTCCCGAAGATTGTAAGTGAGATCATGCTGAATGTCTTCAACAAACTTATGAGCATATTCTGGGTAAAGATCTAACACTTCAAAAAGTCCTTTGAGAATGATACATTGGAGATCACAATAGGTTAGAGCTTTCACATCAGCATTTGTTTTAATCACTTGGTCCTTAATTGAGAGGTTTGCTCCAATTAAATCTCCTTTACCTATGCAAACAAATAGAAAAAGCAGGATGTCAATAAGCAAAAAGAATGTGTTTATAGGCCTGTAGACAAAACCCAAACATGATGATAGGCATTAAAAAGAGTTCTACCATAGATTCTGCTGCAGAAAAAAATTGGACATTTCACTACAGAAAAAAAGATACTGGATATGGATTCACTGCAGAGTTTCCAAATGGATCCTTGATTTTAAAAAAGAGTCTGAAGCAAAGTTTGATTATTCTTCCATGGATGGGATGGAGTAGCAATTGAACTGACTTATCCACTATTATGGGTTTGCTGTGAGGTCTTTTCTGTTTGTAACATTTATCATTTCTCGTGAGTAAAAGCAATGCTGACACATAAAGAATCCCATATGATCACGACAACATTGCCATGGTATAAAACACAACGATATCAGGGCAAACATTTGTCTAATGAATTATCCTGCTTTAAGTACAGTCATAGTCTAGTCCAACTAAAACCAGCAGTCCTGAATAGAATAGAACAGAATAAGAGAGTTGGAGGTCTTCTAGTCCAACCCCTTGCCTAGGTAGAAAATCCTACACAACTTCAGACAAATGGTTATCCAACATCTTTTTAAAAACTTCCAGTGTTGGAGCATTCACAACTTCTGGAGGCAAGTTGTTCAGAGGTGGTAGTCAGCAGGTTCGGACCAGTTCTGGAGAACCAGTAGTGGAAATTTTGAGTAGTTCAGAGAACCAGCAAATACCTCCTCTGACTGGAGATTTTACAGTATCCTTCCCCTACCATGTCCACCAAGCCACGCCCACAGAATTGGTAGTAAAATTTTTTGAATCCCACCACTGAAGTAGTTCCACTGATTAATTGTTCTAACTGTCAGGAAAATTCTCCTTAGTTCTAAGTTGCTTCTCTCCTTGATTAGTTTCCACCCATTGCTTCTTGTCCTGCCCTTGGGTGCTTTGGAAAATAGCTTGATTCCCTCTTCTTTATGGCGGCCTCTGAGATATTGGAACACTGCTATCATGTCTCCCCTAGTCCTTCTTTTCATTAGACTAGACATACCCAGTTCCTGCAACAGTTCTTCATATGTTTTAGCCTCCTATCCCCTAACATCTTTGTTGTTCTTCTCTGCACTTTTTCTAGAGTCTCAACATCTTTTTTACATCATGGCGACCAAAACTGAATGCAGTATTCCAAGTGTGGCCTTACCTGCAGCAATTTCAACATGGAGTCAGGGGAGGGAAGATAATTAGAAAAAGTCAAGATAGTTGTCACAACTGTCTCACTGGTGGTAGTCAATGTGCAGATAATTAGTGGATTTCTTCTAAGGTTAAGACAAAGATCTTCTTTTCTCTCACAGGCACACTAAATCCTTTATCATTTTTTACCATAATGAGCACAGAGGAAAGCTTACCTAGAATTGCCAGCACCATGCTATCTTTTAGAACTTCCATGGAACCTGAGCACACAAGATAGATAGCTTGCAAGGCATCTCCTTGCCGGAGGAGGTACTCCCCAGGAGCACAAAAGGAGGTTTTGATATGCAAAGACAAAGACCTGAGGCAACCACGACTGGCACACTCAAAAAGGGAGAGTTGCAGAATCTCCTTGTTCAAGTGCATGGTGATGTCTGAGCGCAGCTCATCTGGAAAATCCTTAAGAAGCTGTCCAAAGGGGGAAGATGTATTTTAATTCTGTAGTTGAATGGTTAATAGATTTGAATGTTAATGCATGGAACAATTAACCCTATTATGCTAGCTTACCTATTTTAACAATTATTAAGATAAAGTTTTGTTGCATTTACCAATTTACTGAAAGGACTCTTCAATGAGCGGAGAAGTGGCCAAATTTGGAGGACAAATTTGTATATTTGTTTTATTTATTATTTGTTATATTTGCTTATAACATTCAATCAAAATGACTTAACTAGATCTTTTCCAAAATTGAAATAATAAAACAAAAGTTTTACCTCGTGGGAATCTATTCCATTATTGACAGACCAAGTGGTTTGGAAATATTCCAGCATTCTTTGCTTTAATTGCTGAGGCAGGTGATGGACCCTTATAAAATCTTTAAGATCCTTAGTTCTTGTGTGATAAAGGGACCACCTGGAGTACATCCGCTGAATGATAGCAGTCACATTACCAAAAACCAAGGCGTGCATTAAAGCTATGAATATAGAAAGTATATTAATAGAGTAAAAGACATTATTGAAACAGCCTGACTTTAGATTAAGACCAAATAAACACTGGCCTAGGGACCAAAGCTTAGAAACACCATCACTTCTGAATCTTTCTAAAAATGCAATTTTTTTGTGTCGCTGGAAGGCAGTGCCTTAATCAAAGGGCCCTAAGGGAGGCCATGAACCTTTGACATGATTATAACTACAAATTACCCAACTAGCATACTCAGCTGATAAGAAATGGTATGAATCTCTCTCTCTCTCTTTCTCTTTCTCTCTCTTATTATCTATCTGTCTGTCTGTCTGTCTGTCTATCTATCTATCTATCTATCTATCTATCTATCTATCTATCTATCTATCTATCTATCTGTTTGTCTGTCTAATTCATCATCTATCTATCATCTATCTACCTACCTATTATATATCTTCTATCTGTATAATTTTTACAGAAATTTTTTAAACAGAGTTTTACAGATAAGTTAGACCATTTAATGATTTATTGAGAAAGCAGTCTGAAAAAGTAGAAATTTATAAATGTATCTATGAATTTTACAAATAACTTATCAGAGGATATTAAAAAAGACTAAAATATCGGAGTGTCACATATATAGAATGTATCTTCAGAGTATTACTTTGCTGTATTACTTTATTTTGAGCTAAATATTAGCATGCAGTCGAGAAGGGAGTAAGAAATGGTAAGCCAAAGAAATTAAAGCACATAATAAGAAAATATAACTGAATTTTACAACATTCACTAACTTTCTATCCTTGCAAATCAACTTGCTTCATAGCTTTTTATCCTTGCAAATCATTTTGTGTCCATTGGATCAATATCCTAGTCATACATTACCTTTTTCTTTTAAAAAAAATCTGCTTTTGTTGAACTCATCACTTCAATTTTCCCAGTTTTTAGCCTATTGACAATCCCTTCATATATTTTTGTTCTGAAATTAGATCCTGGATCATTCTCTTTATACAATGAAGCCATCTCAATGCACTTTCATATGGGCCATTTGGTTTTGTATTAATTCATGGTCATTCATCCCTCATTTGATGTTAGCCAATATGGTGCAAAGATAAAGAAGATAAAGTGGTTGGACTGACACAATGAAGAAGCAGATTTAAGTCCACATTCAACCACAAAAGCTTACTTTGGAATTTTAGCTAGTCATTCTTTTTCAGTCCAATGAACTTCACAGCGTAAAAATGTTGTGGGAAAGCATGAAGAAAGAGATATCTTAAGGGCCTTAATGAAGGCAGAATATATATCTAGCAAGTAGAGTTTGTACGTCATCATATCTTTTCTCAGTATCCCATTCCCACTGCATTCAACTTAATTTTAGTTTCTTCCTCATTTGCATATAGCAAATTGGATAGCAGTCTGTTGACAACCATTTTTACTTTTTTCAGCATAATATTTTCCTTATCTTCGTTTTAAAGCGCTCATTCTATTACATGTATTTTTCCTAGATTTGTATGTTTTCAGTTAACAATTTTTTTCTTTTGGATCACATACACTCAGAATGTAGCATATTCTTAGCTTAAAATCATACTTTGTTCTTCCGTTATCAACATTTAGTAGAATATAATATGCAACTGTCACCAGTTCAGGCATTCTTAAAGTTATATGCCTTTTAAACAATGTATACATACACAAGTTCACATTTTCTGACATACATTTTATAGATAATAAGCCTATACCTTTCCAACTAAGACCAACTCATCTTCATTCAGATCATGACTTTTTTCTGCTTTCTCTTAATTTTCCAGGAATCCATTCCTTTCCTTTCATTTTCATTTTCTCTTTCCTCTTCTCCCCTTCCCCCTTCCCCTTTCATTCTTCTTTGTTATGGTTGTTAGACAGACTTATCGATATTGTCTTTCAGTACTTATTATGGTATTGGTCAATTATTTGTATAATTATTATATTATGCAATTTTTATATAATTCTCATTTAATAATTTGCCTTTCCCCCCCCCCCCCCCGCTACCAAACTGTCTCACTAGATCCCACATCTCACCAATTAGCAGGTTTATATTCAATCATGATGAAGACAAGAGGAAGATAGGACATAAGGAATAGGCATTTATTTTTATTATTTATTTATTAAGTTTATTTGCCACGGATCTCATTTTGAAGTGATTTACAACGTTAAATACTGCAGATCTATTTTTTAAAAAATGTAGAATATAACATACTAACTTAAATGGGACAATGTATGTTACCTACAGGTGTCCTTGCCTTAACCATTCATTTAGAAACTGTTCAAAGTTTGAAGTTACATTGAAAAAAGTGACTTATGATTCGTCTTTGTACTTACAACCACTGCTATGGTCATGATTAAAATTTGGGTGCTTGGCAATTAATATGTATTACAAACATTCTGGAATCATATGATCACCATTTGGAACCTTCCCAGTTGCTTTATAATAAGCAAACTCAATGGGAAAGTCAGATTTGCTTATTTATAGGATAATGTAATTAACAATTGCAGTGATTTGCTTAACAAGCATGCAAAAAAGTTTATAATATTGAGCATAATTCACTTAACAACTTCTTTGTTTGGCAATGGAAACTCTAGTCCCAACTGTGGTCATAAATAAGGACTATTTGTACATGCTCACTCTATTGATCAATTATTTTCATATGTAGTAAAAATATAATTATTCAGCAAATGTTTATTTTTGCTTTCTGCCAATATGTATTTATGTATAAAATGGTCTAAGTAATATTTCAGGAAAAATAAATATTTAATTTAACAATTGATCTATCCTAGCTATTCTAGCTAGAAACTAAAACCAAAAACAAAACAAAAAAGAAGCTACTGAACAATAAAATTGAATTTTAAATAATTTCACATACATATTTCTAAGCAAAGAAAGGATTTACTTGTCTCTTATTATAAAATAACATTACAAGTAAAAGAAAAAGAATGTAAAAATAAAAGAATGTTATTTCATAATTTTTTACCAAACAATATATTATCTCCCTATAACTGTATCCACACAAATATATAAGTTGTCATTTCTTCTTTTAATGTGTGCATTTATTTATTTAGTTGCTTACTTATTTATTAATTCCAAAACTTTTTGGTTCCCTATATACTCTTGGTGAAGACTTTTGGATTAAAGGCAAATGTCAAGCTAAATCATCTGTCTATAGCTATTGAGTTTACAGCTACTAAGCTACTAAGAAAGAACATTTTTTGGTATATTATAGAGTATAGAGAAATAAAGAGAACAGCTAAACTAATACTATGTTTCCCCTAAAACAAGACCCAGTCTTATTTCCTTTTGGGCTCGAAAATAAGCAGAAGGGCTTATTTTCAGGAAATGTCTCATTTTTTTTACATAAAGAAGGCAGTGAACATAGAAGTTGACAGGAGTGGGAGCAAGCGTGGGAGCCAACAGGAGTGGGAGCAAGTGTGGGAGCTGCAGGAGTGAGATGCTACTACCACCAGCCCTACCCTCTCCATCTGCTGGCTCATAGCTGCAATGGACCAAGCTCTCGGTGTACCCTGGCCTCCCCCTGCCTGCTGGCTATGCTTCTCCTAGGACACTGGAGCTTCAGACTTGCTGAGGCTGCTGCTACAATGAGGCAGAAGGAATTGCAATGCATCAGGATCACCTGCTCCTCCTCCCTGTGCCTCTGCCTAATTGTTGTGCTTGCTGCACCTGCTGCTCCTGGCCTCATGAGGGCTCTTCGCCCTCCTGGCTATGCTGCTCTTGGTGTCCTGTGGCTTTGGTGGGGAGAAGCTCCATGGCGGCCCTGCAGTAGGATGGATAAGGGAGATTGCCCCTTTCTTCTTTGCATCCCAAAACCCTGTATTCCCTGGCCATCGAGCCCTCAGCCTGTACCCCTGTGCTGTAAAGGTGAATAAGACATGCAACTTTCTGCTGATCTTGACTGCTCTCAGATAGACTGCTCCTGTCTGGCATGGACCTCTGAGGCTTCCATCTGTCCCACTGCAGGACTGCCACAGAGTTCCTGCCTGCTGAAACCATGCAGGACATGGGAGGGACACAGTCTGAAGGCAAAGGTGGGTGAGATAGTGTGGCTCCACTGGCAACTGCTGGTGAAGGGGACAGCAAAATCAATCCATCTGAGAGCAGCACAAGGTCAGCAGCAGCAGGTATAGGATGGGGGCTGGTCAGCTGAAGCTGTGGAGGCCTCCAGCCTTGTAATTCTGCACAGGGAAGGCAGAGGTTTGCTCCAGAGTTATGGCAGATCATTGCACAGGAGGCCTCTGCCCCAGGGATCCTGCAGCTCCCCAGTTTGGATCATCCCTGGAGCCAAGAGGGTCAGGGCAGATTGCTTTGCATGGTTTGCATTGCACGGCATACTGGTAGCATTGAGTTGTGCATCTTGCTTGCCTTTGCAGCACATGGGTGCAGGCCAGAGTCTCGGCAGCAAGCAAAGAGGGGGTTTTGGGATGCAAAAGAGGAAGAGGCAATCTCCCCATCCCTTCTCCATCCCACTGCAGGGCCACCATGGAGATCCTGCCCACCGAAGCCACAGGATGGCTGAAAGCAGTCTGGCCAGGACAACAAAGAGTCCAGCAGTAGGTGCTGGAGGCCCATCAGCAGGCCAGAGGCAGGGGGAAGGACCAGGTGATAATGATGTGTCACATGGTCTTCTGCCTCATCATACGGTAGCACCAGGCAGAGCAAGATTTGAGCTCCAGGCCTGAAGGAGTGCAAACCATGGTTGCTGCCTGCTTCAGAGTCACAAGATGAGATGTGAAAGAGAGGGGCCCTCAGCTGCATAGTTGCCTGGGACTGGTGGGAGAAACACTTTCAGGTGCTTGGAGAGACAAACAAGAGGCAGCCCCTGGTTCTTGCTGGCTCAGTAGATCCATGGGGCCACTATTAAGGGGCCTCCAAATCATGCCACACATCCCCTCCCATGCATAGATTTGGCCACTGAAGTCATGCAGGAAGGGATTGACCCTTCATGAGGTGACTGGGAAAGGAAAGGAGTGGTGGCTCAGGGATCACTGGTGTATTTCTGAGTGGGTACATGGTTGGGCTGCCTCCTGTGCTGGCCATGCTCATTCCCTTCACTAGGGCTTATTTTTTGGGTAGGACTTATTTTTGGGAAAACACACTATTTCTGTTATTGTGTTGACATCCATAGCTACTTCCTATTTATTCAAAGACTTTTGGACATGCTGATTTCATACAGAAAAACAAATATAGCAAGTATATTTGAAATTCTAACTGGCATAGAACGACAATTCTAACACATAGAATGACAGGGATTGTCTGAATTGTAACCTTCATCCATTTCAAATTCTTGATAAATATAAGCCCAATACATTTGGTGCCAAGATTAATTTATTAAACTTATTTCTAATCCCTTTAAGTATGTTCTTGTTTATAGGCTACAGGTTAATCAAATGCATGGTATTAGATGTATGTAGCGAATTAGCATTTTAGAGTACTCCTTGCTACAATATTTTAGAAAATATATTATGTATATATCTTTATCATCTTGAAAGAGTGACAAGGTAATATTTGCCCTGCCCATTACCAAAGGAAATGGCATAATAGGTAATAGCATAATAAAAATAGCACTTAGATTTATATGCTGCTTCACAGAGCTTAACAGCACTTTCTAAGCAGCTTATAGACTATTTTCAGTGTTAATGTATGGTCCTAATTTAGAACCAACTGTTTACTATTTGGATTTTAAAAAAATAGTGTTTTGAAAAACAAAATGACTTTTGTTCATCTTCATCTTTGAATGAACTCTCATATTGAGAATATTTACAGACCCCTCACATCCCAGACATAAACTGTTTCAGCTCCTCCCCTCAAAACGATGCTATAGAGCACTGCACACCAGAACAACACAAGAACAGTTTTCCCCCGAAAGCCATCACTCTGCTAAACACATAATTTCCTAAACAGTGTTCAACTATTTACAAAGTGTGCACTACTATTACTGTTAATCTTCTCATCACTCCTTATCACCCTCCCACTTGTGACTGTAGGACTGTAACTTTGTCGCTTGTATCCTTTTGATTTATATTGACTGTTTCCAGAGGTGGTATTCAACCGGTTTGCACTGGCTCGGGCGAACTGGTAGCAGTGATTTGGTGTGGGTCGCTGAACCGGTGGTGATCATGGCTGGCCACACCCCCAACCCGGTTGCCCAGTTGCTCACTTGCCCCAGTCGCTCTCCTAGCTTTCCCTACCAATGGTGGATGGGTGAAGCTCGGGCAGATGTCCCGCAGCTGCTGCACATGCGCACTGTGAGTGCAGCCACTACATACGCAGTGCAAATATGCAGCAGCTCTGGGACATCTGCCCACCTGCCTATCCGCCTGAAGCACGCTTCTCCCAGCGGATGTGCCTCTTCCAGCCCGGCCTGGCCCAGCACACCTAGCCAGTAGGTGGCCACATGTCCAGCTGTCCCTTTTGCAGTGCCAGAAGCCTCTCCCAACCGGCTGACTACTCTCTTCCTCCTCAGCCATATAGAACAAATGGGCAGAGAAGGAAGGGAGCAGCTGTCCACCCGGTTGCGCTGAAAAGGGGGTGGCTGGGAGCAAAAAAAAAGCCATTTTTCCAACCACCTCTTTTGCAGCGCCAGAAGCCTCTCCCAACTGGCTGACTACTCTCTTCCTCCTCAGCCATATAGAACAAACAGGCAGAGAAGGGAGCAGCCGTCCATCTGGTTGCACTGAAAAAGGGGTGGCTGGGAGCGAAAAAAAGTCATTTCCAATCATCTCTTTCCGAGTGCTGCACCAGCAGGCTCAATGGGGTAGACCTGCTTGGCTGGTGGCTAGGATGCAGCGGAGGCGGCGGGTTGGAGAAGTGCAGCAAAGCTTCTTGAAGAAGCCTATAGCCACTGTGTGTTTTTTTCAGTGTTGAAGGAAGGAAGGTAAGGTTTCAGGCAGTTGAGAAAGCTGCCTAGCCCAGAGCTGCTGGTGGCCGGGGGGGGGGGGGGCGAGGCTGCAGCACATGCCTCACTTGAATTTCCTAGCCCCAAAAGCGGGAGGGGAGGAAGGCTTTTTCAGGCAATGCAGGACAGGAGACTGGCTGGGATGAACCCCTGTAATGAGAGATTCTTCCAGGAACTTGGAAGCCTGTGTGTGTTTCAGATGGGTCTCCTTTCCTAGAGCAAAACGAGAGAGGAAGAGAGGAAGAGAGAGGGAAAGAGAGAGACAGAGAAAAAGAGAGAGGGAGGGAGAGAGGGAAAGAGAGAAAAAGAAAGAGAGAAGAGAGAAGAAAGAATAGAAAGAGAAAAGGGAAAGAAAGAAAGAAAGAAAAAGAGAGACAAAGGAAGAAAAGGGATAGACAAAGAAAAATGGGATGGAAGGAAGGGAGAGAAAGAAAGAAAGAGGGAGGAAGGGAGAAAATGAAAGATATATGGATGTGTGGATGGATAGATACATGGAAGGAGGGAGGGAGGGAGAGAGGAAAAAAAAGGAGAGGAAGGAAGGACACAAACTCTGGCTTTAGAAGACTTTGAAACAGCACAAGCAATCTAGGGCTGGAAGGGTCTCGCAGGTCATCTTCTAGTCAAACTTGGCAAGTTTAAGACTTGTGGACTTCAACTCCCAGAATTCCTGAGTTAATATGACTGGAGGAGGAATTCTGGGGATTGAAGTCCACAAGTCTTAAAGCTACCAAGTTTGAAGACCCCTGTTCTAGTCCAATCCCCTGCTCAGGCAGGAAAACTCTGAGGATGCCAAAATCTGACTAGAGCTCCTGGGAAAGGTGTCAGAATAACAGAATAACACTTAGAAGGGACCTTGGGGGGAACCATTTCAGAGAAATGGCTGTCCAGTCTTTTGATAAAAACTTCCAGTGTTGGAGCACCCAGAACTTCTGGTGGCAAGCAATTCCAGTTTCTCCTTACTTTTAGGTTGCTTCTCTGTCTGTTCAGTTTCCATCCTTCTGGTGCTTTGGAAAATACATTGTTTGCCTTCTGGTGCTTTGGAAAATATATTGCCCCCCCACTTCTTTCTGGCAGCCCCTTAAAAGCCTGTTGCCTATCACACTCTTGAGTAAAGCATGTGAGCCATTTCCTCCTTTCAGTGGTCCATGAAAGTACATCTATACTATGCAGGTAATAAAGTCAAAAAAGGTGAACAACATTTTTACAGAACTATAGATAAGTTGAGGCTGGGTGACAAGGAATGGCTGGGAGGGGAGGGGCCAGGTGAGGCACCCCTTGATGTGAGTGACATTGAGTTGGTCACGCCCACCCAATCACATGACCACCAAGCCATGCCCACCTAGTCACATGACCACTAAGCCACACCCACCCAGTCACATGACCACCAAGCCACATCCACCAACTAAGCCACGCCCACAGAACCAGTAGTAAAAAAATTTGAATTTCACCACTGACTGTTTCCTAGTATGATTTTATTGTTGATTGTATCCTATGACTATCATTAAGTGTTGTATGTTATGATTCTTGATTCTTAACAAATGTATCTTTTCTTTATGTATACTGAGAGTACACCAAGACAAATTCCTTGTGTGTCCAATCACACTTGGCCAATAAAAGTATTCTATTCTATTCTATTCTATATTGAGAAATATATATTTTAAGCTCATATTGCTATTCCCAATGTTTACTTACCCCCAATCAGCATTGTGCAAATGGAAAAAATCTTTTCAGCATCTGTATTGGCTGAAACATTGCCAAATCCAACACTGGTGAGGCTGCTAAGTGTAAAATACAGGGCAGCAATATAGGCACTTCTGAGTGATGGGCCTCCTGATGTGTTATTGCCAAAATATGGAGATTCCAAACGTTTTCCTAGTTCATGAAGCCAACCTAAGAAAAAGGGAGCATAATTGTTATAGTATATAACAAGACAGAAAATATATATATATATATATATATATAAGTATATAAGACAGAAAATATTGTTTAATCAATTACTTTAAAGCAATTTAACTCATTTCCATTTCCAGAATGATATATCACTTAGAATGTGATTGTATCTCAGATTACACACTTCAAACTTAATGACACATTTCAGCTCAAAACTGCTAGTTAAGACACTAAGAAAACCTACAATGACATGTGATGAATCAAGGAGAATCACATGCTGTATTCTATGGATTTGGAAAGACTATATAACTAACTCACTGCAAATATGTGATGTTTATATTTGCAATAGTGGCAAATATCTGTAGCTCAGATATAGAATTAGGGTAAGAGTTCATTCTCTGAGCTTATGGATTGGTTTCTGAACATTTCATTATTAGGCTAGATAGCATCTTCATCAAAGTTTAGAACATGTCAGTATTCTTCTGTTTATAAGGATTTTGTGTGGTCAGTAGGTCTTGTGATGGGTCAGGTGGGAGTCATCAGTGGAAGTCTTGTGATGGATCTTGTGATGGGGAGATTCAGGTGAAGTTCACTGAGAGGCACTGTGCTGGTTGGGAGGATTTGTGTGGGTTGGTTGAGGGTCTCTATCTCTGATTAACTGTGTGGTTGATTTGGATTCTGAGGGGTTCATAGGCTGGTTGTAGGACAATGTGTTTGTTGATGGAATTGCTTGTGAAGTGCCAGGCTTCAATGAACTCATGAGTGTAGTGGGTGACAGCATGGCTGATGGTTTTTAAGTTGCCCTAATTGAACTAGTGTTGGTGTGAGTAAAAATTAAGGATTTGGGATCATGGCATTTGACTGCCAGCTGATATTCATGGATCCTGGTTTTTAATTAATGTGATTTTTGTCCCACATAGAATTGTTTGCAATTATTACAGTTGATTTTGCACATTACATTGTTTCTTTCATCCTTCTGTATCTTGTTTTTAGCTCTGGATAATTCCTGGTGGAGTGTAGCTGTGGGTTTATGAGCTATTGCTATTCTTAGAGATTGGAGAATTCTGACTGTCATTTCTGACACCCCTTTTGTGTATAGTAGGGTTAGTTTTTGTGTGGTGGTTGGCTGTTTGGTGTGTGATGGTTTGGATGCTGTGTGTTGGAATGTGAAGTTTTTTGGATACCGTTATGGAGAAAGATGTCAAACAACTGTTTCTCTTCTACTTTTGTTAGTGTTTTGGTGCTGCAGTGTGTTCTGCCCCTTCTAAAGAAGACTGTACATAGCTTCTTTTGGGTGCATGGGGTGGTTGTTTGTGAAGCTGAGGATCTGGTTCATGTGCATGGGGTTTGCAATAGATGGGGTTTCCAGTTCTCTTGATGTCGATATTGAAGAATGGGAGTCTGTTTTCTGTTTCCCCTTCACATGTGAATTTGATCCCAGGGAATATTATTTAACACCACTGACAATGCTGCTGCCCTACAAAGCGACCTTGACTATGTATCAGTATGGCCACATAATAAATGCTCTGTCCTACACATTGGCAATAAAAATCAGAACACCAAATACAAGTTGGGTGGAAATGATCTTGTAGACAACCATCACTCTGCTAAGGACCTAGGAGTACTCATCTCAAATGATCTAAAATATAATATAATATAATAGAGTAGAGTAGAGTAGAATAGAAAAGAACAGAATATAATTCTTTATTGACCAACTGTGATTGGACACACAAGGAATTTGTCTTGGTGCAAATGCTCTCAGTGTACATAAAAGAAAAGATACATTCGTCAAGAGTCAAGTATCATCAGGTACAACACTTAATGATAGTCATAGGGTACAATAAGCAATCATACTAGGAAGCAGTCAATATAAATTGTAAGGATACAAGTGACAAAGTTACTGTCATACAGCCACAAGTGGGAGGGGATGGGTGATAAGGAATGATGAGATTAGTAGTAATAGTAGTGCAAATTTTGTAAATAGTTGGATAGTGTTGAGGGAATTATTTGTTTAGCAGAGTGATGATGTTTGGGGAAAAACTGTGCTTGTGTCTAGTGTGTAGTGCTCTATAGCATCGTTTTGAAGTATATGATCCAGAAGATTCATGATGGTTTTTGTGGACATGGAATGTTCTGTGGTGGCATCATCTTTGTGATATGGTGCTTAGTCAGTAGGTAGTGTATGCTTTTTTTAGCCAGATCAATGTCACTCAAGCTGACATCAAAGAAGACCAAGATTTCTTCCTTCTTGATCTTGTTTATGTATTAGGGTGCTTTAAATTTCAGAATGAGAAGGAAATTAAACAGAATAGACATGAAATTTATATAATTTTGGAAAAAAGTATAACTCTAAAGTTAGTAAGTGCTATGTTTGTTTTTATTTTTTAAAACTTATTTTTAAATAATTACTGTTTTATTTTTAATAGTGATTTTATTTATACATGTATTGTTTCACTTATTGTTTTAGGCCAGGGCTGTCAGACTCAAAGGCCCTCTGGCCAGAACCGACCTGCAATGTGGTTGGATCCAGATCACAGGGCTGTCCTGGAAAATAAAAGCAGCCAGCCCATGTCAATTTGCCCGGGTCTATCCACATTGTTTTGGCCTAGTTTACCCAATGCAAAGAGGAAACCTCAGGCCACCATGGCTTTGGTCTGGTCTACACAAGGAAGAAACAACGCAAAGAGGAAACATGCCAGCAGTTTGGGGACTGGTGTCAAGCTGGCCATGCCCACCCAGCTGGCCATTCCCACCAAGTTGGCCACCCCCCCACCCAAGTTAACCACAGCCCTGATGCAGCCCTCATAAAATTGAGTTTGACACCTCTATTGTAGGCCAGGTCTCCAATTCCTGGTCCATGGACTGGTGTGCAGAGGTATATAGAAACCAGGCCATGCAAACAAATGAAGCTCTATCTGTGGGGTGCAGATAGCATGCTAAACCATGCCTCTGCAGTCCACAGAGAAACCTCCAAAGGATTGGGGGCTGCTATTGTAGGCTACCTGGAAAACTTTTTGTGAGATGATCAGCCAAATAAATAAATAAACACACACACATGCACACACACAATTGAGCAGATAGGATTTTCAAAATATCTAACCAACCTTTTGCAGTATGACATTATTGAAAAGAAGGAATATCAAATATTTCTATCCATATCATATTTAATACATTGAAACAAACAGTTGTACAGAGTATGTAACTCATTAGAACTGTTAATATCATACACCTCTAAGACTTTTCTGGTTTCTGTCAAACCCAACCTAGGTTAGTTCTTTTAACCCTTTTATATTAGCTTTAGTTCTGTTTATTTATCAATGAAAAGTACTGAAAAGTAAAACCAAGTAGAAATTCACATACTTCTACTTCATTGTTATCAAATGTTTAATATCCACAATCTCAAATACTTCTTTACCCCAAACAGCATAATAAAATAAATATTCCATATTTTCTGTTCTGGATAATATGGTTCTTCTTTGGACTTCATTCCAAAAGAAAAACAATTTAGAGAAATGGAATTGATAGAAATTAAATCTGAAGTGAGAAAAATATGTTTCCCTGTACTTTGGACAGCAATCAAATTGAGTATGATTATAGCTCAAAAATCATTCTGATTATTTTCTAGTATACAGGCAGATAAAAATCAAATGTAGTTTCATCTGAAGCATGTGACTTTCAAGGATCAGCTAAGCTACATAATGGATTGCAAATAACACAGATCAGCCCAGTGTACTTGCTCAAAAGGTTTAAAGGGCAATTAGCTCTTACATTTCAAACATATGTTGAAAAAGAATCAGAACCAGAGCAATCACAATTAGACAGAAAGCTCTTATGATGCCATCAAAAGATTCATTTTAATCATTGTTACAAATTCAGCGAGCCTGGATGAACTGTTCTGTAGATTTGTCACATGAAGGTAGGGAAAGCTCCCGAGCTAGACTTTGAATACTTATGCAAACAGAAAAATCAGCATTTGAGTATAGAAGTTAATACTTCTATATATTTGACAAGAAAAGACATGGGGGAAAATGCTACAAGGATATTTGGTTCACAAAATGAATTGAATGTGAAAGTCATGAAGAACAATTTGATTCTCTGGAACAATTCCTTTTGTGTCTTGAAGTCCTAGATTCTGCGTATCTTATATTGGAAGCATAATATTCTGACCTATTTTGAACAAATCTTTCAGAGCTTTTCCTGCCTGGGCAGTCTACTTTTGACTGGGTATAAAGATTGAAAATGCTAATGCCTGAACATACAGTCAGACAGAAAAACTGAAATTCTTAGAACTCAAAAACCTCTCCTTTTAGAATTATTTTGTATAGCATGGCAAAACTATTAAAGTTCCTACAGTCTTTTTTTCAAAGTAGTGAAATTCATTGATTTGAAACATCAACAATATATTTGTGGTAAATTATTATATGAGGCTTTAAAAAAATGGTTAAACAGTATTGTAAATAACCAATTTATACAAGTGTGTAGTCTTAAAACTTTTTTGTAACAAAACATGGGTATTGTACTGATAGTGCCACATGAACTGCTGAACTCAACTTTGTAGTGTCAGCATTCATATATCTTTGGAATAATTTTATCTTGCTTCCCCTCTGTAACTCACACTTTTTGAAAGCTCATAACTAACTGCGTTTGATAGTTTATTAAGTGTGAAATATAAGTACTAAGAAAGTGCATGCATACAGTAGAGAATTCTGAATCCTAACCTTGCTGTAACCCAGTGCTGGAGCGATACAGGCATGAACAGTCCTATCAAGGACAATGAAAAGTATCAAGGTGATTAAAAAATTCAAGAAAGCTACATGAAGCTCCATACAAATCAGACAGGAAGGGCTATAAAGAAATTAAGTATCACTGTGTCACAAACAGTTTCTGGATTCATGTGGCAGGGCAGTTTAATAGGTTCCTGCACTAATTAGTACATCAGTTGATCTGCACTAGCATTTGGCATTTAACTTACAAGAGTCTTAAATCAGATAATTATATAG